GTGTGTGTGGGTGTGTGTGTGTGTGCGTGCGCGTGTGCGTGCGTGCGCGCGTGTGTGCGTGCGCGTGTGTGTGCGTGCGCGTGTGCGTGCGTGCGTGTGCGTGCGTGCGCGTGTGTGTGCGTGCGCGAGTGTCTGTCTGATTATCATATTAAATATACACTTCTTGTCCTTTTCAGTTTCAGATCGGTCACACAGCGCCATCTATCATTTCAAAATTCGAGACTATCTTGAGGATGGCAAATTTCCCGTTGCCATCGAACTTGTCGTAAAGGGAAAGACGGGCGGGCGCTGTGTTGAGGCGAGTCAGTACCGTAAGCTACTCACCATCAACGGCAAGACGTCGTTCACGCATGCCGAGCGTACAAAGTCCGAGTTTCACATCTATCCGCTAGGCGGCGCGCTGCGCGACGAGTTCTCGAAGTGCGTGAACGCGGTGTGCGCCATCGACGCTTACGTCGGCCTAGACGCGCACGGCGCGCCGACGGGCGACGCATGCGTAATGGATGCGCCGGCTCAGCAGCCGATCCTCGCGTTCTACTACGGCATCACTCCGCACCGTCTCAGCATATTCACGAGCGAGGGCGCGCGCGTCGCGAGGAAGCAGCCGGCAGGTGGCGTCGAGCGGCGATCGACGGACGCGAGCAGTCTGTGCCAGGTTCACGCATGGTCGATGGCATTCGCCGACATCAGCTGGTCATGGGTGCTGCAGCCGCTCCGAGTCAGCCTCAACTACTGCAGCGGCCGATGCCCGGCCGAGCACCTTATCACCAACTCGCGCTTCAACCTCACCAACCACGCCTTCTTCCGCGCTATGTACGAGATCGCGCAGGGCTCGGAGCGCGCTGACTTCCTGCCGCCGCCCGCCTGCGTGCCGAAGGACGCCGACCCGCTGACGATTCTCTACAATCAGCCCGACGGCAAGCAGAGTTCGAAGATTCTACACAGCGTGCTCGTCAACAGCTGCGGCTGCATGTAGATGCGCTGATCGAGGACAGCACGCACGCACGCACGCACGCACGCACGCACGCACGCACGCACGCACCAACGCACGGCGCCAGCACACACACCCGCACGCCGCCGCACGCACTAAACGCACCAAAGCAAGTCCAACGCACGCATGTAGCCGCGACGCGCAGCACGCACACCACCACACACGCGCGCACACACGCACGCCGCTTCCACGAGCACGCGCCAATGCGCGCTAAAAGCAGCACGACGCACGCACCAACGCGCGCGCGCGCACCACAACACGCAACACGCACGCACGCACGCACAACGGCGCGCTCACAACACACACGCACGCACGCCACGCTCACGCTACGCACACGCTCGCTTCGCACGCACGCACGCAGCACGCAACACACACCACACATGTAACACACGCACGCGCGCATTGATCAGCACGGGCACGACGCGATGCGCACCCATATCAACGTATATGCGGGTTCAGTCATCGCGCGCGGGGTTATTATAACCTTATATACGATATGTTGAGTTTGCTCTCTTGCTACTAAGTGTCATTCGTAGATTCTGTAAGCCCATGCACGTGTTTGTATTGATGACTAGGCATGATGTGGCACGCCGTGTGTTTTGCACTTAATATAAACGATATAAAACATATTTTACGATATAGTACGCCTTTCCGTTTGATACCCAGTTATTCGTTCCGTAAGTAAAGGATTTATTTCAAGCATACGGACGCCAGTTTATATGCGGATTAATTAACAATAGGTGAAGTGTATAATTGCGAAATGTACTATTACATTTGCATTGCATTCGTTTTTACAAGAGATATTTTGGTGTATATACGATCAGCGGATAGGCCCGCCAATGTAATTTAATGTGTATTTATGGTTTTGTAGAGACGCCGCGGTTCGACAAGAAATGTGTTTCCGGTAGAATATGCGGGTTATTTAAGACTCGCATGTACCCACCTACGTACTCACAGACGCGCTGGTGCGCGAACACACGCACACATACACACACGTGCGCGCGCACACACAGCACAGCAGAGCACACACGCGCGCGCGTGCGCGAGCACATACACACACACACACACACACACACACACACACACACACACACACACACACACACACACACACACACACACACACACACACACACACACA